CGGAGGCCGGGCTGCCGGGCAGCGCGCGCTGCCTCTCGCCGCCCTCGTCCTCGCTCTGCACCAGGCTCAGGGAGATGGCCTGGCGCGTCGCGTACGTGCAGTTGGGCAGGGGGCTGTTCTTCGGAATCCTGACTTTGTCCTCAGAGAACTCAATCACTTTGCGGCCCGGGTACATAGGATGGGGAGGGGAGGGCGTAGGGTACGGACTCAGCTTCTCAAAGGCTGGCGCCTCCTCCGACGCGCTCTCCACGCTGCTCTGGGGCTTGCAGCCACCGTTCTGCTGGTTCCCCGCACTTCCTCCCTCCTTCCCCAGCTGCCCTGTGCTGTTGCAGGCATCGGGAGCAGCCCCGCTCATGTCGACGTGCACAAAGACGTCCTCGGCCATGGGACAGCTGCCGCTGCTTGACTTGGCTGAGTTCAGAATGAGAGATTCTGGTTTCTCCAGGACTCTGGCAATGACTGAGGTGGGCACAACGTCAGACGGGGCCAAGGTGTGGGTGGCCTCTTGTGCAGGGCCTGCAGACTCCTGAGAGCTGTGCAAATGCTTATTGACCATGTCCTGCAGCTCATAGGGAAGCTATGGAGAAGGAAAAGGGCATTAAAAGGGGACTGCCAGGCAAACCATTAGGTTGCAATAGTCTGCCTTCATGTGGCAGCCTTCGTGGGTGCTCTGCTCTATGCTCTTATCCTGATGCTAGCACTTTTGCCAACCTTGCCTTGAAGCAGGCATCTTTCTCCAAAGCAAACCTGTCCTGCATGAACTAACTTTAGTTTTAGCTAAGATTCTAGCTGTAACACAGTGTTAGGGGCCCAGGCCAGCCTTCACAGACCCTGTTTTGGAAAGAGAACAGGACAAGGTGGCACACAGGCCTCAGGCCCCCTCACCGTGGGCAGAGACAAGGCCTAGCTGGCACATGCTAGGAAGGAGTCTATTGATCTGTGGAAAATCAACCGGCAGTTGCACTGAAGTGACTGAACAGTCCCCAGTGCGAGATGTGCAGCGCTCCCCGAACGCAGTAATTACTGCCTTGCCACCCTGGCAGCCTGCCCGAGGACAGAATCAATGCCTTCCCTCAGTCCTATTGGCCACCCCATCTCATCTCACTTTCTCACCCTCTCTCTCAGATGGCCAAACACGTAAATCTGTGATCACACCCTCAGGACCAGGGTCTCAGCGAGGGGAAAGCACCGCTCCTCATCCAGCCCTCCCCGCAGTCACCACAGTTGTGGGAGGGCAGCACGGGGGACCCGGCCCGCTCGGCTGCTCCGCGGGGCCCCACTCCGGGCAGAACCAGAGCCCCACGGAGGGGAGACAGCTGGCAGAGGCCAAGGTTGCCCCAGCGGTAACCGATACGCTGGCCTCAAGAGTGCTAATTTGAGACATGTTGGCAGAGGGGGAGGGTGACGTACTGGTCACCTGCTAAGTCACAAAAGACAAGTGCAGAAGTTGGCTGGGAGGCTGGAGACTGGGGGTACAGGCAAAGAGAGAGGCTGTTCCCAGCCCAAGGAGTGATGTTACTAATGCGAAAGGCCTGACCCCTGTCTTTGCTCATGATGAGGCTTGGACAAGGCTGGACAGAGGCCATGGGGAAAGAATGACTTGGTGCCAACTTCTTCCATTCTGAAGGCCCAAAGCCCACTCCAAAGGCTGCTCCCCTAATTGCTGCTCAGAAAAACAAGTCACACAGGGCCAGCCTAAGCAGGCCACCACTCTTAAGCAGGCAGCATGGCCAAGCCATGTGGCCAGGTGAGAAGGAAAAGAGGACAGAACAGGGGAAGAGAGAAGTCTGTTCTCCTGACAGCTCCTATCAGGCACCCGGCAGGCGATCAAATTCAAGGTTATTGTGCTTTTTATAACAGCCCCAGGCCAAGCCGTGAAATGGAGCTGGTGTGAAAGAGGAGCTGACAGGAGCTCTGAGCTGCCTTCTCCAGGGCAGCAGGAGCCCCCGCACTCCTCCGCCAAGGGAGGAGAGGCCAACTGCCCCACAGAGAAACCCGGAGCAAACCGAAGGGCCAGCAGAGGCTGCGAGCCCTCCTCCCCGCCTCAGCGGGGCTGCTACTCACATCAGCAAACTTGTGGTTCCTGAAGTGGGACTTGTTACACTTGAGCAGCTGCACCGCGAGGTTACAGTCCTGCCGATACCGCTCCTGCAAGAGAGGGCACACAGGACGCAGACACTGTCAGCCCGCCCTGGGCTCATCAACTAAAAGGCATCACCTGCCAGATGCTGCTTGAACAGAAGCCTAAGGGGACAGCTGGTGAATCACCAATAACAGCAGCCACCATTCACTCCTCTCCATACCTCACCCCAAGGTGCTTCAAACTCCAGTGCATTTCCTTACAGTTTGGCCAGGGCACCCCTTTCAGTTCCAATCCCTTGGCTCCAGGCACAGACAAACACTGTCAGTGCACCAAACCCACCTCTGAGGAATTCACAACCTCCAAAGGCCAAGCAGATCTACGATCCCATTCCAGAGCTCACAGGCATCCCTGTAGACCCTGCCTGTTTTCCAGCACCTTGCAGCCAGGCTGGAAGGAGTTCAGAGCAGCGAACAAGCACCAGATCCAAGAATTGCTAAATTAATTATATGGAAAAGCCATATCACTAATGATAAAAATATGATAAAATGATAAAAAACCCTCTTCCCACTCTGACATCTCAAGTGGTACAGCCTGAATTCAGGAATTCAGGTCAAACCTAACATTCAAAGAGCAATAGAACACACACATCAAACTTGAAGATCAGCTCTTCCCTGCTTGCCCCCCAAGGCCCTTTTTGTGTTTGCTTGTGCCTGCTGCTGCGTGCAACTTCCACTCTCATACACGCCAAAGTCGCTCACATGCTTCTTTACACTCTCATTAACGACTTGGGATGAGAGGAGAACCCCACACCTCAGGCACCTCCAGCACATTTGCAGACTAACACTTACATTGAGCTCCTCCAGCTTATCGATGGTGGTTTTGGCATCAAGCAGCTTATTAGTGAGCTCCACAATCTCCCAGTCCAGTGTCTTGCGGTCCATCTCCGCCTTCTTAATCTGGGATGCAAGAAGACCGTGCATGAGTCTCACCAGCACAGAAGAGCCTGGCTTCACAGCCCACCCACCCCGAGCGCCGTACAGTTCGGCTGCGATACAAAGGTTTCTGGACAGACGGACAAGGGGAACATCCTGCCTCTTCATCCAGATACGGACTCCCAGGGCAAGCGGAGCCAGCCACTCTGCTAGTCCCAGAGGCAACGATCGAATCTCAGCCTTGAACGCGGCACCTCTTCTCGCTGCCCTTTCCTCGCTGCCCCGCGCAGAGCTGGCTCTGATGCTTCTCTAGAGAAGCATGGCGGGTTTGGAGCGGTTGATCCCACACTGCCTGCAGCAGCAAAGGTGCCTGAGCTCGTTATAACTGCCCCTCTGCTCTGGGGAAAAAAAAAAAACCCAAAGAGGAGAATATTGCCCAGTACAGGCGATACTGAATAGGATTGCTGGGCAGGGAGAGGGCACCATCTTGGAAGAGCTCAAAATTTGCTCTGGTAAGAAAGAAAACCTGTGGAGCTTCATCCAGAGCTCAGTTAGTGCCCTCCCCACAGCAGGGAATGTCTCCTCTAACTCCCTATGACCTTGGGTACAAGGCAGATGGGGGGGCAAGAGAAGGAGGATGCTTCCCAAATGTGCATGCCCACTTTGGGCACCAGCGTAAGGAATATTAACACAGGAAGCTCAAGTGCTAGAACCAGAGAGGCACCAGGGGCCCGCGGAGGCGACCAGCATCTCAGCTGTTCGACTTGCCTGCTCGCAGCCCACAAGGGGCAGGAAAGGGAGCAAAGGAGGCCCAAGGCCCTCCCTGTGGTGCACGGGCCACGCATGGCTACAGCTGCCCGCAGCGAGTGCTCCCGAGAGCAGCACTGCACGACAGGACCTGCCGCGGCCACCGGGCACCCGCGGAGCCCTTGGCTGGACCAGGGCCGGGGCCCCTCCGTCTGGATGGTGTGTGCGGGACCGACAATGAGACTAAGAGGCTGAGACACGAAGGGAGGAGAAAGAAAAAACACACAAACGAAAAGACGCAACTGCAAAAATCCAGCTTTGGCTGAGAGAGGCCTGAGAGGCGAGTGCGCCCAGCGAGTGCCAGCGGCAGCATGGGGAGGGGGGAGAGAGGGGGAGAGGGAGAGAGAGAAAGAGAGAGGAGGGGAAGGGGAGGGAGAGAAAAGAAACAGCCATGAGTGTTATGAATGCACAGACACACGCACATCGGCTTCGCTGCGACCACCCCGCTGCCCGCCCAGGACCACCCCCCACACGGGCTGACACATCCCCAGTGCTGCCACAGGGACCGAAGCAACATGACGAAGGACCATGCGGTTATGTAATGGGGAACCAAGCTCACGTGCGGGACCATGGCGGGGAGGAGCAAATCGAGCAGCCACTTCATGACACAAGGCTGGGATTTGGGTTTGGGTTTTTTGTTTGTTTGAGGGGGGAACTAGATGGCCATGGGCAGAATCTTAGTGTCACCCACTGCCAGATCAGTAAAGCCAAGGTCCCTTCCCCCATTACCTCCTAACGTCCAGGCCTCATCCACCTCCTCTCTGAAGAGACTTGACAGGCACTTACCAGGGCATGCAGCTTCTCCTCCAGGTCCTGGTTGGTTCTCTGGGAAGCAGTGTAGCTGTTCTGCAACCTACACAAATAGGAGTGCCCACATGGGAACGGTTCCCAGGCAGCTGGTGAAGCCCCCTTCCCAGCTGCCATGCAAACCACCAGTCCCATGGCTCCCAAACCACCGACACTTGCACTACTGAAACAGCAAAGCACATTAGGCCTCACTTCTACCTTGTTATAGCCTTCAGGCCTCAAGTGACTAGGGTAGAGGCAAGTCTGGCCCAGTGACCTCCCACACGCTTCCAGTGAAGGATGTAAGTGACTTTGGGAACTCCTCTGAGATGTGCCGTGTATAAACACGTGATGGACAGCGATCCCTAGCTGACACACTATCTTCTAGGTAAGTCACAAAGCAATTTCTTCTAAGTCATGATGGAATTACTTGCCACAGCATCAGTGGCTCTCTGCATGTCAGTCAACTGTACAAGTCAGATCCTGCCTTACACCCAACAGATGAAGAATTCTGTCGCAGTCAACTCCTCAAGTCGCACCCAGCTCCTGTCCCATACCCTGGATGAAGCTGCACGAAGAAAAGACTGGAGAGTCCTTACAGTGTGAGGGAGTACTTCTCTACGGATGCAGCATGTCTTTGATCAACACAACAGGGCACAGCCTACTCGAGCCATCTGAGCAAGTCTTTGATGGGAGTTATCTCTAGTTCTATTCCTATCTTGTTTTCTTTTCCATACCTACGGAATTTGTCTTTGAATTTCTCCAGCTCCTCACGGTTCTGGCCCAGCTCCATCTCCAGGTAGTCCTGCCCCGACTCCAGCTCCCGCTCCATCGCCTCCATTTTGCCGGTCACGTAGGTGAGCCGCCGGCGCAGCTCCTCGTTCTCATGCTGCAGCAGCCTGCGGCGCAGAGGAACAGGTTGCCACTGAGGGCACGAGGGGTCTCTAAGCCACAGCTCCCCTCCCGCCCTGCTCTAGGGCCCAGGTGCCACTCAGGATCTCAGGGAAGCTGGGTACTGAGTTGGTGGGAGGCTCCAGCCCACACAGGGAGAGGTGAGTCACTGCTGGGAGCTGCGGTCATGTCTCTCCAGGCCTGGAGGAGCAGGGGCAGAGCAGCACTGGCCGGGCAGGCAGCCGGGCTACGAGCCCCCTCTCATGTTACAGTGCCGGGACAAAGCCCACCAGCCAGCCAGAGCAGCCGGCTCCGGTGTCCCTCGACGGTGAATGAAACCCACTCAATAATTAATCCCAGCCCAGGTCACAGGAGCTGAAGGCAAAAGACTGAAAGCCCTTTCTGCTCCCCCTGGGCTCTTCAGAAGCCTTTATGCTGTCAACACATGCTAGAAAGAGCACCCCCACACAGCCTGAGCCCAGGTGCGGAGGTGATGGGGTGCAAAGTGAGATGTGATCACAGCTGCCAGACAACCTCATTCCAACATTAACTGCTCTGTTCCTCTCCAGCGAGGACCTGCCTGGTGGGCAGAAGCATTTCCTGCCGCTTTTCATTCCCCAGTGCTCAGGGAAACTCAGCAATACAGCTTCTCTCGGCAGTGCAAACTCTCTCATCACCAGGGTCTGGAGCACCATGCGAGCAGCTGTCTGTCCCCACGCCACCAGGAGCTGCCCCTCGTGCCTCACACCAGAGCAGTGGCAACGAGAAAGGTTAAGAAAGGCTCTGCTGCTTACATCTTTATTAAGGCTTCACCTCCTATTTTCTTCCACATCCACCAGCTCCTCTGCACCTGCACTCCCTCCAGGGAAGGCAGAGATACAAGGCAGATGTTGGCGAGACGCAGACTGAAGCTCTTCCCATAGGGCCCCTAGAGGCTTCAAGCTCTGAGGGGAACCCACAGGACCAGGGAGCTTTGATGTGCAGTTTTCACAAGCAGCATGTGAGGAATCAGTACCACAGAGCTGCAGCACAACAGGCATAAAGGGACAACAGGACACTTACTTCATCCTTTCTGCATCCGTCAAGGGATCCTGCACAGGGAAGAAAACAGTTGTAAGATTCTTACTGAGGGAGAGTGGGTCGCACATACCATCCTAAAGGGCAAGATTTTGATTGCTGGGCTCCACCTGGGACTCTCCCTCATCTGCTCTGAGGAGCCATGCTAGACAAACTAGCCATGCTTGGGAAGCTGGGCGCTGCACACACCGCTCAGCTGGCTGATGCAAGGACAATCTGCTTTGGTTCTGAACAACTCTGCTAGAGCAGAAACCACCCAACCTGGGCAACTTTTCTCTCTCAGCAATGAAATCTCAGCATCTCCTACAACACTGTTAGCTTAGCTGGTGCTTCAGCCGCCTGCACTTTCCCTGTGCCGTCCTCACAGGTCAGCATACACAGAATGAAAATGTCACCACCACAGTCAACACTGGAGAGGGCACACAGCAATATTAGTGAAAATCATTCGGGAGCTGAAAAAAACAGCCTGCCATTTAGTTCCGCCAGACTGTGCAGTGAAAGGGGTTTATTTCTGCAGACTTGGGACCAGCCACTGTAATTAGTCTGGAGTAACCCAAGAAGCAAAGGCCAGAAAAGCCCATGACAGAAACTAATACTTGGGGCGAGATCTCCAGGGATGCTCGGAGCAGGGACCTCCAGAACAAGGAGACACAGCACAGCGATAGCTCAAGCTCTGGGGGAAAATCTACAAGAGGGGTTCAAACTTGGCTCGAACAGTTACTCTCACTCCCTCTGTGCTAACCCATGAGATGGCTGCTGCCTGCCAGCATGGCAGGAGAGATTTTACTAACACTAAAAACCACAGGTAAAAGGTCAGGCTGTCCATGGGATATTCCGGAAGCCTGGAGTAACAGCAGCTCTGCACAAGCCCAAAGTGCTTTGGATCCCTCCATTAAGTGTCACAGCCAGCTCCAAGCTGAGAAGCTGCAACAGAGAGACAGCTACGGATGGGGGTTAAGCTGCAAGAGAGGAGAAATCAACCTGGTTTTGGTCCTAAGACATCATGGAGCTGTTCCCCTCATTCATTTGTATTTTAAAAGCATAGTACAGGGGAGAGGGGCAGAGCAGCAGCCGCCCCTGCTTTCCTGACTCTTGGAGCCAAGGGGAAAGCTGCTGCCTCCTGGGAGACAGACCCAACCTGAAGCACGGCCGTGAGCGCCAGCACAAGGAAGCAGCTCCTGTGGACTGAGCACCCAGTCAGACTGCCCAGCGGCATCAGCATTCGCACCTCCGCGCACACCCCCTGCCACCTGACGCCGCCTCAAAACCCACCGAGGGACACGAGAGGGGAGTCTGCTCTTGCAAATTCTCTCCTCACCCCTAGCTCATTTGAAAGTTTCCTACAGGAAGCAAGGTGATCTGGCGGGCCCCAGGTCAAGACCTTGATCCTCAGGCACATGAAAGCTTTGGCTGCGTTTCTCCCGAGCAAGATGCCAAAATCCAGCAGCTGCCTGAAGATGGGAACAGCACGAGTGTCTCGGGACATGCTCTCGCTCCCCATGCTGACTTTAAAGACCAAGCTGATATCCAGGCTGGGACAACCTCTCTCCATGGGCCGGTGGCCCTGGCACCTACCTTGTTTAGTGTGACGCTGAAGGAAGGGGAGGATCTAGATGGGGAAGGGCCCTCCCCCCGACTGCAGCACGTTGGAGGGGAGCAGGATCTTTTCTCTGGGTAGTTCAACTCCACCACACGCTTCTGGCCAAGGTTAGCACACAGATTCTGTGGCTGCAGCAGCCGCGAACTGGGGCTGGTCTTGTCTCTTCTGCCCTCTGCACTGCTTTTCCATGAAGTCAGCGAGTGCTGCTGCTGCTGCCTTGGTGATGTCCCTGCCAGCCTCAGCTCTGCTTGCTGCTGCAGATCATACCGACACAGATCTACTACCCTCCTCTCCAGGGAAAGGAGTTTCTCCTTACTGTCCTTTCTCCCCAGGACAGGTTTCTTTCTCAGTCTGGAAACTGCCTCAGCTTCTTCAGCACGTTTCCTTTGGGAGGAAGTTATCCCCAGCCTCTCACACTTCATCTCTGTTTTTCTTCTGCTCGGACAGGGGGATCTTTCCATCGCATGATTCGTTTTGACCTCTTCCAGGTGACCTTCCCCCTGGCCTTCTGGCACAGGACCTCTGGGAAACGAGGAAGAGTCCTGGCCTCGCTCTGCCCCTCTGGCCTCCCCCAGTGAGCGCAAGCGAAGGGGACTCAGCACCCGGTGGGTAATCTCATCCAGGAATTTGGAGAACTGCAGCTGCTCCTCCCGGCGCGCCGCTCAGCTTCAGGATCCCCTTGAGAGGCAGCTGGCTCGAGCATGCACGAGACTTCCTCGGCGTCAGGACTTCAGGAGGCTCTTTGAACATAAGTGAGCGCTCCAGGCTTCTGCTCTTGAAGGAGCAAGTGGGAGGGCGTCTTTCATCTCCAGACATCACCACCGTCTCCATGCTGCGGCTCACAAACTTGCTGAGGTGCCCGCGGTTGCGGTTCGGGCACCGCTTCCCGCTTCGCTGCCCCATCTTTCCAGCGCGCAGCAGCGCTGGCGAGAAAGTCCGGCTCTTGATATTCAGCTCTGCTCTGCAACCTGTCACTTCCTTCTCATTGCTTGACTCCAGGGACCACAATGAGGAGAAGTTCAGGTCGCAAACCTCAAACCCCTCTGACTGCTGGAGCCGGCCTGCCTTGGCGTAACCAACCCCCGCTTGCTGGTGCAATGGTGCTAAGCCCTTTGCCACCCGGCAATCCGTTACCTGACTCTGCTCTGCCAAGATCACGCCATCATGGTCGTCACGAAGGATGGGCACGTCGTGGCGGATCTCACGGTGCTGCGGGGGCGCCTTGCGGTACGGCTTCTTGGACGGAGCTGTGCTCGACATCCTCCCACCGACGCGGCTCCGGCAGCGCGTTACCTACCAACAGCGGGAAGGGCACAGAGAAGAGGGTCGCTGCCGCTCCATGGAACCCTAGAAGCCACCCAGCAGGAACTGAGCTCCCTCGAAGTCCCAGAGCAGCTCCCCATGCGGGTTACTAACAGAGCACGGGAAGGAGGCAGCCCCAGGCCTTGAGCGGCTGCAGGAGAAAGGAGAGGAGTACAAGGCAGCCGTGTCCTTCTCCTGGCCGGCAAGAGCAGAGGGCTGGCACATCCTCTCCCCCCTCCGCACACGCTCACTCACGTAGTTTGTGTGTGTCCAGATTATATATAGCAAACGAGAACAGGCCTCAGAGCAGCATATTGATCAGGCTCTTTAGGAAAGGCCTTTTCCAATATGGAAACTGCAAGCCTCATGGGCAGCAGTGACGGCTGGGGCAGGAGTTATTGATCCTGTGCTGTCACTGTCAGCAGCGACTACGTGGGAGGAGCCTCCAGCCATTAAACAGCCCAAACCCACAAGCTGGTGGTTGCACTTGAACCCTTGCACTGGGGCAGGCCCCGGGAGGCTCGTCAGAAGCAGCTACTACACCTTGCTCGTTCTGTCAGGAAACCCAGAGAAGATACCAAGGGCACAGATGGCATGAAATGAAGGAACAATGCCATGAATGTTGGGATCCAAGGTCAGCTGTTGCAATATGCAGCAGTGCCACTATAAGACCAGATTAGTTGCTGCTCCTTCATCCCAGCTGTGTGGGACAGGAGGATTCCTTATAGGCAGGAGCACTAGTATTAAAGGAGCACAGACTGGGTAGAAGGGAAGCAGGGATCTGTACACACGGAAAAATCTTCCTTCTACCACCTCAAGACAGTAGTGAAAGGCATGGAAACTTCCTCAGGCAGCCAAGATTTGAGTCATCCCAGTAGGCACAACACACTCTGTGCAGAGCCTCATAATAGATCTCTCCTGATGACAACATATGCTTTATTCATGGCCCACCCTATATACTGGATAAGTGTCTACTTTTTATACCCCTTTGCCTTGGTGGATCCTAACAGTGATCATAGGCTGGTGCCTCTAGAGTCTGCAATGCCTGAACTGCAGGACTTGCTTCAGCTCACATCACCCCCTGCCCTCGTCTACAGGCAGGGCCATTTGATTCTCACTTACCCTCCACACAGTTGTGAACCTCTCTATGGACCAGTGGGTAACACCAGGTCACTGACCTGGCAGTTTCACCTGCTTGTATTTTGGCAGTGGAGTTTTAGAAGTCAGGGAGCTCCAAGAGCCCTCTCCAGGTTTTATATATTCTTGCCTACCTATCTCTTCTCAACCTAGACTGAGCCCCCTGAGACAACTGGTACATATTACAAATCTGCACATAGCACAGAGTGGCTCCAAGACATAAGAGGCTTTCATGCCCCAGGAACACTCGCAAGCTGTCTTCCACTCTGCTGAAAAACACAGCTTCACAAAAACTTCTTACTCCCTTTCCACAGACATATGCAACTTCTTGGAACTATCCTGTAAAGCTTCTCCTTGAAAACTCTGTAAAACTCACCTTTGCCACAGTCATTCCCTCAAGGGCTCTTCTGCTAAAAACACCGAGGCAGGTGAAGGGATCTCTAATATTTTAACCCCATCCAGTATACCATACTTCCCACTGAATTCCCAAACAAAGCAGCTAAGTCTGCCTTTTAGGAAGGCATTTCTCTTATTAAAAAAGGAATGCTGAAATCCTGTCTAGAAGTAGGTTTATCAGCACCATACTGCTCACCAGGTGGTCTGAGGGATTATTCTGTCAACTCCTGCCACACTAAGGACTGGATGTGCCCATGCAGATATCCCAAGCTCAAACACTGTAATTTTTATAGCCCACAAGAACCTAAGCACTTACCAGCCAGGGTTCAAATCTGAAGCGTCATGAAGCAAGGACACTCACTCGGATGCCCTGAAGAAGGGAAATACAAAAAGCTTAGCACCCATCAAAAAGCCAGGTTTGAAAGCTCATCTCATAATTACGTAAGGAACAGGAAATATTTATAGCAGAAGACAACTGAATGCTCATCCCACTCCCAGTTTACCATAGACCTCCTGAACATAAAGGAAATTAGCTTTGGGAAGTTGGAGCCAGCAAGAGCTGGAAAGACTCTTGGTGTAGCCATGTGCAAAGCACACCAGAACCCTGCTCCAAAATCAAGGAAGCAACAGCTCCAAGGAAACCCTGCTTGCCACAAGCAGGCCTAAACAAACCTCCTGCCAGATGAGGTCCTTACAGCTAAACTACTCTGGCTGCTCCATAGGGATGCTAAGTGCAGAGCTGTAGATCCAGAGCTTGGTAATACTAATGGTTACCGCACTTGTACTTGTAAGCCAGTGCTTCTGCTAACATTGTATCTACAGACGAGCTGGCACTCACCAGGCTCTCACCTGAGCCAAAAGGTCGCTCCTTGTGCCTGCAGCTTTGATAGTCCACACCAAGCCGCTTGCCATGCTCTACCTTGCTGCTATGAGGCTGCTGGAAAGTGATGCCCAGGCAGCTAGTGACACAAATTCAGAAACAAATTTCCTCTCTGTTCAAAGCCCAGGGTCCCCATCCCTACAAGAAGGAAACTGCTTCCCAGAAAACTGGGAGCTGGCTGTAAGAGCCTCGTGCCATGGCCATATCTCTGCTGCTGGCACAAGAGACCTGCAGCTGGGTCCTGCCTTCCCCAGCACAACTGCTGCTGCTGCTGCTTTTTTTCCAGTCTGTGGCAGGGAGCCCTGGGAGCGAGATGGCGGGCAAGGTGCGGAGCAGTTGCACACACAGGGAGAGCCACACAGGAGGCAACCAGAGCGGGCAGGCAAGCGGGACCACGCGCACCCAGGTCCTGCCAACACGAGCTGAAGGGGCGTCCCAGCCCTGGCCGTGCCCCAACAAGCTGCCTGCTCCCTTTCCTCACTACGGCGCTACACTCGCGTCTCCACTAGCACAGGGAAAACAGCTCCACAGTCCCCCAGCTGTTCCGCGGGGCTAACCTCTAAATTCCGGGAGAGGGAGAACGTGCAACTCCAGCAGGGACCAGGTCAGTGTAGTTTGAATCTGCTTTTCCACCAGCTCCCAGGTTCATGATCAAGGCAGCACCACCAGCCACAGGTTGGCAGATGAGCAGAGGCTTCCAGGAACAGCTGCCCTCACAGGCCCACGCACGCTCCCATCACAGACATGCTCTGAACAAACACACCAAAGGCCTCGCTGTCTCTCAGCAGGCAGCTCCTCAAGCTCCAGCAGGACTGTCCTGCTTCCTGCCCAGTACCTGGCGGCTCTTCTACTTGCCATCTCATCTCCACCTACCTGCCCGAGACGCCCAGATTTGTAATCTGGCCCCATAATCAGAGAATTTCCAGAGACACTTAAATACTCACAGTCCTCTCCAGGTATTTCCCCTTAGCTAAGGACTTACAGATCCAAAGGGACGACGTGTTCAAACATCTCGGGCTGCTCGTCTCCAAGTCAGCTTTCCGCTGTCCGTGTTCAGAGGTGTCTGGCCAACGGCTCCTGAAACATGAGAAGGGAAACTTGGTGTCAGTCACTTATGAGCACAACACATAGAAAGAGCCATGCGCAGAGCTACCTACTGCCAGGTTCCAGGGCAGAAGTCAGCAGCAAAATGCAACAACATGCAGCACCATCAGTCTGCTCTCTGATGGTAGGACTCAGTGTAAAGAGCTCCCAGTCTCCACTGTGCCCCAGAAAGGAAAGCTCTTTTAACTAGCCCTCCAGCGAGCAGGATGCCTAGGGCTACCCGGAGCCAGGCTGCTAACTGGCCTCAGAAAGGCAGCAGTTTTTCCAAGAAGGCTCCAGGGGTCATTGCTTCCCCACTTGTGTTCTCATCCAGCATCAGGAATCCAGCATCTGTCACTGCCCCAAGCACCCTGCTGCACTCGGCTCATTTCCATCTCTGAGGTCCCTCCACCAGCCAGCACAGCTAAACCCTTTCTGTCTGCGACACCTTGGCTTTCTCTGCCACCACAGATCAGGGGGAGAGAGAGAAGCCAAAGGCGGCTCAGTTCTCCAGCCCTCCTTTCAGAGACGGGCACACACTCTCCACGGAGCGGATGCACCTTTCGCTCCGAGGCAGAAAAGCATATAGATAATACCTAGTAATAAAAACATGCACAAATCCTGCTCTACAATCACCAAGCTATTCACAAGTTCTCTCAGAAGGAGCTTGCAGTCAAGTCCACACTTTGACTACTACAGAGCAACTCAGCTTTAGCCTGAAGCTACAACAGGAGACAGCTCCTCCATCAAGTCTTTAACCATTCTAATTAGCTCTGTAATTCAATAGGAAACTTAACCTCTTGGTGCCTTTTATCTGCACTTTCCATCTCTCATCAGCAAGCAATGCTCCTGCACATTCACAGGCCTCCTCCTGGCCTCCTCCAATTCTATCTTCTTATAGCTACTTATAGCCCAGAGTAGTTCCAGTGTTGCTTCTGAGCTTATGGAGGATGCAGCTTTTCTGGGATGGCTTGTGCAGGACTTGGGCTCACACTGATCAGCCAGCAGTGGTCGTGTCTTCCGAGCAGACAGATATACACCATGTCAGAAGACTCCAGAAGAAATGAACACCTTGCTTCGTTAATGCAAAAAGCCGAGGAATCCTCCACATCCTCTTAAAAGAGGGAAAACATAAAACCTAAAACCTCGTTTCCCTTCACAGTGACATAGTGCAGTTCGCCTTCTGAGCACACAAACTTGCCTGTAGTTGTTTCTATCACAGAGCATCATCCTTCACACAGCAAAATTCACCCTCTTCCCTTACAGAATGGCTACACGATCTGAGGGTTACGGGAAAGTCAAAATATTTATCACACACCAGGAACACGTGACACAGGATGACAGAATTGCCTGGATGATTCCGTACAGGATCCACAGAACTAAGGGCCCTTGACACTCATGCAAAAAGCACACCACCACCCACCTGCTCACTCAGTCTCCATAGACCTCCTGCTCTGCACAACACATCCAAAGGGGGACAGAAAAAAAAGAAGTCCCTTTAGACAAAAGCAGAGAACTGACAAGAGTGACATTTCCAGACTCCTAGTGTCTTCCTCACACTTTGCAAGACCCTCAAGGCCCTGGGTAAGTCCACAGGAACTTAAGGAAAAATTTCTTAACAGTGAGGGCAACAGAGCACTGGAACAGGCTGCCCAGAAAGGTTGTGGAGTCTCCTTCTCTGGAGATCTTCAAAACCTGCTTGGACGCAGTCCTGTGCCACATGCTCTAGGTGACCCTGCGTGTGCAGGGGGGTTGGACTAGATGACCTCTAGAGGTCCCTTCCAACCCTAAGCATTCTACGATTCTACGATATTTAGGCTTTGGTTCTCTGAGTAGGAGATACCCAGTTTTGGCCAACTTGCTGTTCAAGCAGTTGACCATTCCCTGCAGAACGCAGGAGGCAGAGAAGGACTTCCCATCACCACTTTTTCTTGGGTTGCCTTTTATGCCCCTATAAAGAATCCTGTCTACCACTGTTCAGGCTCAGCAGTCTTCCTTGCTTGCGACTAGGTCGCAGAGAATGTTCCTTGTTTCAGCCTTTGCTTCATCTTTCCAGCGTTCACTGGAACACAGCACTTTAAAATTACTTCTCATTCAATAAGATAAACTTCAATAAGAGAAAAACGCATTTCATAACACAATCTGAACTATGTTTTTTAGTGCAACACTACAGAAACATTCCTTAGCCATCGCAAAGTCAAAAGTACCCTAAAAGACTCTGATCCCAAATCCTGCGTGTTTAAAAAATGCTGCTAGTGTTCGGTATGACGTATCTAAACACTATAGCTCGTCCAGAATTCCCACTGTTTGGGAACCTGTGTTCTGAATGCATACCGAGTGGAGAAGACAGGCACACACGGCTCTGGGAGGTAACACTATCACTCCTGGATGCAAAAGCAAGGGAGACTGCTCCACTTGCCTCCCGCTGCTTATGCAATACTGCCAGCCGCAGCCTCCACGTGTCTCCAGACGGATTCCTTGGGAAGCTGTTGCAGCAGGATGCTCAAGACAACTAATGAGCAAGATGGATGATGGAAGTGCTGCACCAAGAGGCCCTGTTCAGGAGAAATGAGCCTGTCTGAAGTGAAAAGCAGCCCCTCTAGCCTACTGGTGCCAAATATGATGGAAAAGGACTGCAAAGCTATTAAAGGACCCTTTAACATTTAATGAGAGATCATCTTTTCATTCAAAGTAGGAATCCCAGTTAGAAATATGTTCCGATCCTTTCTGTTGTTGGCTACTTTGAGGCTCTACTTAAAAAAAAAAAAAAAAAAAAAAAAAAAGGATGACTACTCCCAGGGAAGAAACTTGCATCCCATTCTGTTGCATCAGATATGTGAATGCTAAAATTCACGTTTGAGTAATAGTATTACAGTGACTCTCAGATTAAAATTGAGTTTCAGGAGGATTATTGCTCATTCACCTGCTTTTTCATCCCAATTAACCTTAATCGTTAGGTAGAAAGCTCTTTTCCCTGCATGGGAATGACTCCAAGAGACATCAAGAAAAAGGGATCAGGCTAGCTGTTGAACAATAGGCCATGTAATAAGCCCTGCTTAACACCTAATATATTTCCAAAGTAAATGAAATCAGTCGACTCTGCAGTCCTACATAGTTCTTGTTGAATATAAATACCACCGGACATATCATGTGTCTGTTATACCCATGCACCCTGCGGAAGTCCTTTAAATTTATGGGAATCACTTTCCTCACGGTCCCTCTTTCCACAGTGCAGCGATCCCCTTATTTCAGTCACGCTCCACGTGCTTGAGCCTGTGTTTTATGATCTACCATCTCCAGTGTGTGACAAGCAGCTTCACGTCCCCCAGCCCCTCGTAAGGGCGGGCGGGAGCAGCTCCGCACTGCGCGGGCAGCCCCGCTCCAGCGGCGCTCGCATGGAACGGGATCGGGAATAGAGCACAACAGCTGACAGACGTCGCAACGGCACTGGCACAGGAAGCCGAGTCCAATTCCCCAGAGGAATGTTAATGGAGAACAAAAATACCCAAGAGAGATTTTGACCAGGAAACGAGCCCTAGCTTTCTAATACATATAAAAGCATAGAAGCACCTTTAATGGCTGCCCCTGAAACTGCTCAAGAGCCAGCTCAGCAAAAGGTCACCTACTAAGTTACCTTTAGCACTGCCAGCTACTGAGAGGGCTAATGATAGCTCCTTGTCCAGAAATGCTGACACACAGGAAGCCCATCGAGTTTGCTTAGTGATCCCTGCAGTTTGATCTCTCTAGTTTGCTCAGTGATCCTTCCAGCTCTCACAAGGCGGTGTAGGCTCTAAAATTCCAGTGCCTCTTTACCTTTATGTCTTGGATTTCTTGTCCTTCCCCACTCTGTATGTCTTCTTACCTCTGCTCTTTTAAGACATCTTCTCTACAGACAGAACCAAGTAATCACTGATAGACCACGTGCAGAAGAAGCAACACTATCAAGGCAATGAAAAGGACTTCTTGGACAAGTTTTTTAGATATTCAGAGGTGCAGACAAGACAAGAGCCCGTGGAATCAAGGAGTACTCCAAGAGGTTTCTCAAAACAACTGTAGAGTCTCTGCTAACAAAAGCAAACCCTGAAGCTCCAACAGATACATCTCACAAACTGGTAGCTCACAGGAGTGAAACCAAGGAACTATGGCCCTATTTTTTTTTCCCTCACAACCACAAGCTAGGGAGCAGCTGTAGCAAGCAAACATTTGGAAAGCAGTGAAGGAAAGAGTAGGTGAACATTTCTGAAGGAAATAAGCACACAGGAATTCCTGTTGAGTGGCAGTAATGCAGAGACAGCTGACAAGCTGGTAGCTCACAGGAGTGAAACTAGGGAACTATGGCCCTATTTTTTTTCCTCACAACCACAAGCTAGGAAGCAGCTGTAGCAAGCAAACATTTGGAAAGCAGTGGAGGAAAGAGTAGGTGAACATTTCTGAAGGAAATAAGCACACAGGAATTCCTGTTGAGTGGCAGTAATGCAGAGACAGCTAAGAGACCGCACATCTCTGAAGCCTGACAGAGGAGCTTCCTTCCCCCAGCACCAAGAGGAGACGTGAGCAGGTTTGTTGCAGCTACCCAGCCCACAGAGCATTTTCAGGGTTGAGGATGCTTCAGATCTCGTCCTGATGCTTGTAGGTGCTGGCAAGAGCAAATAGCAAGAAATGGAATGGCTGATTGCAGCTGCCAGCTTTATTCTGAAATGCTACCACTCCAGCTGATCTTGCAGAATAATTCATAGGCCAGTTTTATTCCTGTGGAGCATTCGTCCACAAGCAGAACATGCAAGATGTATTGACTAGTTTCAGTGCATTCAACAAGAAATAAAAGTGGCACCTGCAGTAATTAGGTGGCACCTTCTTCCTTGGCCATGAGTTTTGTACATTTGTACTGAGGTGCATACTGGGGAGACACGATTGGGAAATAGCATCAAACTAGGTGAAATTTATCTCTAGCTCTGCAGAAAAGTCCAGTACAAACCTGCTCAGACATCCGAATCCTCAGAAATATTAAACATCTGAAAAACTTTTAAGATGTTAATTTTGCTACATACACTGCAAGGTCTGTAGGTATTTTAGTTGCAGGCTGATGGGGAACCCTAAGGCAACATCCCAGGGATCTCACACCAGTAGGAGACAGCAAAAGCCAGATTTATGGGGAGAAACAATCTGCTTTGATCTAAAATTATGGCTGAGAGTGACCAAATTGTATAAAGGTTTGCAACGGTCATTTTGCCCATCCTCCCTCAACATGCACCACAACAGGCCCTTTCATTACACAATCACATGGCTACAGCCAAACATGACATACAGCTCAGCAAATAATAAAAAGAATCAGCCCTTTCCCCAAGGTCTTGTCTATATCTACGCTGTACAAAATTAAATTGACTTAGGAAATAACGTAAAGCAGTATAACCCTCTTGGGTAAATGTTCTTAATTCAATTTAAGAGCACTTTGTGTTGAATCAACTTAAGTTAAGTAGATAGACACAACGCACAAACTAAATTAAGGATGCCTATACAAGAATGCTGCACTAATTTAATCAGAACCATTTCTAATCCGATTAAGGTAAATCAGTACAACTCTCCTGCAAAGGCAAGATCTTTAACAATATTTAACGTAACCGCTTTATTGCCCTTTTCTGCTCAAAAAAAAATAAAATAAATGCAGAGTAGAATCTCTTTTGCAGAATCAATATAAGCCAACTATGCCACACAAAATATACTAAGGCATTAAAGCTATTGGCCTTTATATGACTTCAGAATATTACTACTCCTGTGCCAACTAGACCTCACCGCAATGCTAAACCTCACACGGCTTTACATTTTCTCTATCCTTCCCAAGCAAGAGAAGGATGCTAACGAAGGATGCTACATGTGCTGTGCCCTGCTTCCTGCACACACATATACACACGTACACGCACCCCTACCTTTTACCTGCCCACGTCAGTGCACTGCAGCACGCCAGACCCCGGGACAGGATGTTCCGCACACTCCTCCCCAGGGCTAGGGCTCACCGAGAGCTTATCCGAGCAAACTAGCGTGTGGGGTTGGAGCACGCTCGCTAACTTCCCTGGGCTGGGTATCTCTATTGCCCCCCTTCCACCAAAATATACAGTTCTCTTGCTAACTGGGGGGTAGCCCTATATGCAAAGCTTGTCTGGGGTCACAGACCTAACGTGCTGCAAATCCTTACCCCAAAGGCACTTCTCAACTCCACAGTTCCTACAGCATCTCCCGCTGAAACATACTGCCAAAAATAAATTTCAGGAATTCCCAAGTCATTAGATTTTTTTTTTCTTCCCCCTCCGCAGTTCCTCATTTAATACCATCTGAACTGTTTCTCCTGAGTATTGAAACCTAATTTCTTATCTTTACTTGTTTTGTGCTCTCTCTTTCATCTCTACCCAGTTCTCCAAAGCAGTCTTGTCCAGCTCATGCCAACCTTCATCATCTCATCCCTGCCTTCTTCTAGGGCCATCTCTCAGCTACCACACGCAGAACGACTTTCCCCTCCAGTGCAACAAGATTTCCATGGTCAACTCCCAGCACAGCAAATGCCAGCAGGAAAGCACGGGGGCAGGATCACTGACTCCAGCTGCTAGAGAGAAAGACAGTGGGGAAGATTCTCTTTGGAGTCCCTCACAGATAACCAAATTCCTCACTGGCCTCTAGAAATCCGAAAAATCTGGTGAACACCTACCCCTGCTGAGCACCAGGAACAGTGCCAACTGTGGAACCAACCCTGGTTTAAATCCATTTTATTTATTTATTATTATTTTGGAAGAGCTGTTCTGGATCACATGGCAACAGGGACTGCAGGTATACACAAGAGTTCAGTTGCTAGGGGAACCATACTTCCACATTTGCTATTTTACAAGATTCAAAATTCACCTTTCGTAAAGGGCTGCAGGGGCGATTTAGCAGAGAGCTGCTTGGTCTTGCACCCAGGATTCACTCTACAGTTACGAGGTTACATGGCCCCACACCAAAACTAGGATTCACTGTGCACTGAGGAGGGCAGGAACAGTTTCCATTACATAAGCAAAGAAACTGAGCCACCAGGAAAGAAAACAGCTTTGTGCACTGTATTTGCAGGAAACTTTGTGTAGGAGGGAAACAGTCTCAGCTGTTTGGAAAAATGCACTGTAGGAAAATTCAGCAAGACACAGACATACTCTTTGCACCTAAACTAGAAATGACAGGGACAAAGAGAAGGAAAGTGTGTGAGTACGAACTAAGCACTCACCTGACAACAAGGAGCTGAATAGCTGGAGGATTCTTTACAAATACAAATAAAGCAGCTACCCTGACCCATTAGCAGGAGAACAATATTTGCACTATACTCGATTCCCTCTGCTGCTAGGGCTTAATCCTAGTAGGAATCGTTGTGGTTTAATTAGCTTTTCCCTAGCAGATGGTGGGATGGGAGAGGCAGAGAATGGTATCGGCTTAACTGTTGTGTGATGGTGCAGCTGCATCTGTAGCTGAACAGTTAAGCATGTCCAAGAGTCCAGCTGTAGTCTGCACGACACAGCCCACCTCCGGCATTAGCCAAATGTGCCCTTCCTCCTTCTCCAGACTACGTGCCACCGTGGGGCAGGCAGACAGCTAAGGCGCAGCCTCACCCTCAGCCCCTTTGTCAGAGGGGACCCGCAAGTCTCGGTCAGCCCTGAGTCCCTCTTTTCTTTGCTCACACAGAAGCACATTCATAAGCATTGCCATGGAAACTCAAGCCATCCCCTGTGCTACCCATCAGAGAGGACCTTCCAGCACAGAAATATTTTATGATCTCTGCAGCGCTGAATACAGACAATAGTCAGCATACTGAAGTAAAATTACACATGCTGGTGTTGTGTGAGGACAGCTGGGTTGTTCTGAAGCCAGCCAGCCTCATCCTTCCTTCACATGCAACAGCTCCTTATGAGCTCGCAGTGAAGAGCCACTTAGAGCTGAAACAGAGGAGGTGCTAACACACTCATCCACAAGGCAAGAAAGGAACAGAAAGTATTCAGAGCTTTCTCCCAAGGTTGACCAAGCCCTGTCACTTTATCTTCCCACAAGCTAAAAGTGACACTGCTCCTCACTGCCTTGCAAAGAGCACCTCCCCCCACGCATCTCCCTCTTAATCCAAGCCCGAGCCATCTCTTCCTCTGGAGACTGCATCAAATATTCCCCAGCCTTGCATGCAGCCTCTGTACCCAGCCAGCATTTGTGCCAGAGCCCCCACACCTACCCACCACCACCAGCAGCAGTCTGCAGAGGCCACAAAGCAAGGAC